GCCTGAAGAGGCGCCATCATCCACCCGTACATTTGGCGCACAGTGTAAGGCATCTGTGACACGGAGCGAGGGCGTCTCAAACGGACGTAGCATGTCGAAGCGCAATCACCATCCATCCGTCCAGGTATTGATACTTGCTACTGCGTACGTGTGGGGCGCCGCGGCGAGAACCATCGGTTAAGCACGATCCAATCCCATCCGGGTAGTTGGACGGTCTGGCAGTGGAAATGTATGCATACATATATATATATATATATATATGTATGTTGGGCTCAGGCGATAACCGCATTTGGGACACAGGGACGACCACGCATCCGTGTTATTGGGTAAAGCGGTCAAGACGAATGTGCGCTTCGCTGAGGCGATAACTAGCCACGTATTGAAGTTGGCTTGCGCTCCATCCGCGTAACGGGTACAGCTGTCTAAGGCGAGTGCACGCGGCGCCGAGGCGAGAGCAGCCATTTGAAAATGGTTCCCTCCACCAGTGTAGGTGGTGGCATCGGTTCGAACTGACTACTGAGGGTGTACAGGTGTGCGCGGAGTAACGCCTCAGGCGAGAGCCCCATGTTCACCCCCCCATCCATCCCGCCACCCGTGAAACCCTTCGACATATTCAAGTCACGGGACCATACGCGGGGAGGAAGTATCGGGCGAAACGCCCAGTACGCCCTGACGACACACCTGGCGGCCAGACGGGATGGAGTTAGACATGCAAATACAGTAGCATTGAAAAAGGAATTGGGTCGGAGGAGGAGTTGGGAGGCGGAACAAAGCGGGAAACCGAAGAAGGAGGAGTGTGAGGAGGATACGGACGGAGGGATGAGAGGGGGGAGCGATCAGGAAGAGCACCATGACGAGGAGTGATGGGACCATCATAATATCAAGTATAGAGGAAGAGGAGTCTGAGAAGGTGGAGCAGGAGGGATGACGACCAGGAGACAAAAGGAGGATGGAGGAGGATGAGGAGGAGGAGGAGGGGATTAGGATGATGATGAGAAGCACCAGCAGGAGGCAGGAGCATGGTGATGACGAGAATGATGAGCAGGAGGTGGTTTACGAGGTCTTCGGCCCCGTGTTGGCGGTGCGGAGCTTCTCAACCGAGGAGGAGGCCATTGACCTCGCCAACGCATCGCACTACGGGCTTTCCAATGCGGTCCTCTCTCGTCAATTCCATCCTCCACATTCCCATCCAGCTTCCTCCACCGTCTCATCCTCCCTCTTCTCCTCTTCCCTCTCATCCTCCTGCTCATCCTGCTCCTTTTGTTTCTCAACCACATCGTCCACCCTCTTCTCATCTTCTCCCCCTCATGCTGCCTCCGCATGCCCATCCTGTTCCTCATCCTTATCGTGCTCATCCTGCTCCTTGGGCGCCCTCACCCTCCTCCATCGCCTTCTCCTCATCCTTCCCTTCATCCTGCCTCGTGCACATCGTGCCACCCAATTCTACCTGCTCCTACCCTCTCCCTTATCGTCCTGTGGTAAGACCGCTCAACCTGTTTCTCCGCCAGCCTTCTGCTACATCCCTCTTCGCATCCTGCTCATCCTCATCTTCTTCCTTCTCACCCTTAATCCTCCTGATCATCCTGATCTGCCTCCTCCTGCTCCTCCACCTCTGTCAACGTCTCCTCCTTCACACATTCTCCCCCTCCTGATCCTCATTCTCGTCCTCCTTCTCCTCCTCATTCGCCTCCTGCTCCCTCATACCCCCCCCTTCTCTTCCTCCACCTCCTCCTCCTCCTCCTCCTCCTCCTCCTCCTCCTCCTCCCTCTCCTCCTCTGTTCTCTTAGCTCCTACCCCACCCCCACATCCTCCATCCTCCATCCTCCATCCTTCTCCCCCTCCTCCTCCTCCTCCTCCGGATCACGCTGGCCTTCCACATTCGCAATAAGCTGCGCTCGGCCACTGACCGCGCCCGTGTCTCTGATGCCGCTGCGCTGGCAGCTGCCCACGCCCTGGTGCAGCGCTAACTCGATAGCGGGACGGATGGGTTGGGATTGGTGGGCATGGAGGGACTCTCTCGCCGCTGCCCGTCCTTGTGCTCGGTGGCGCGCATCGGAACAGACCCGCGTCCCCCAGGGTACCCGCACTCCTCCTCCTCCTCCTCCTCCCTCCTCCTCCTCCTCCTCCTCTCCTCCCTCCTCCTGGGCCCCATTTTCCCTGCGCCCTTGCTTCCGCCCTCCACCCCACCCTCTCCTCCTCGGGTGTACTCCGGCGACGCGGCCCGGTGTCGGCGCGTGGCCCGGAAGCTGCGCAGCGGCGTCGTGTGGGAGAACTGCAACCAGGCAGCCGAGGAGGAGGAGGAGGAGGAGGAGGAGGAGGAGGAGGAGGAGGAGGAAGGCAGGCAACCAGACAGCCGAGGGGGAGGAGGAGGAGGAGGAGGAGGAGGAGGAGGAGGAGGAGGAGGAGGAGGAGGAGGAGGAGGAG